TGCTGCATGTAAGAAACAAAGACATGACCCTGCTGTAGAAAGATTCATACCAATGCTGTTTTTTCCCTCTTCAAGTGGTGTTTTTGTTCCAGCGCACACATCTTATTTTCACAGTCAAGGATCAATGTCAAGAGGTTCTGATGAGTCTATAGCTTCTATCAGCAGCCCTCTGAATCACTGTAGTCTGTTATCACATGTCACACATACTGTACAGTAGCTGTAGTGAAAATATGTGACTGACTAGGGATTCAATCACACTATTCTGCACGTGGAATGATGTAAGCTACACCATTTCTGCTTTAGGTGGTGCATGTCTGAATTTGTTAGAACTGATGTAAATAATTGAAATTTTAGAAACCAGACCTCTCTCTTACAAAATGTGTCAGCAGGACATGCGAATAAAAGAAGAACTTATTAACCATCTCATTCTCATGATAGAGAATGAAAACAGGCCCGAAAGACCACACACCTGGCCCAAAATTCTTGAGTTCTGGATTCAAGATTGCCTCTTAAAAAATGTCTGGGTGTTAGTCACTTTCTGCATGTGAAAATATTTCCTTACGGCTCCGAAAATATCTGCTTTTCCACATTTTCCATCTGCATGCATGTGTGCTGACATGCATGTGAGGTGAAATAAAGGTCTTCAATCTCCAATGCTGATCAGATCTCTAAAAGTAGTCCCTCCTGTTATTTGCACTGACATATTGTAAGTACAAAGTTCAATTATCCAATTGGCTCAATTTGAAATATTCAAAGAAATGAAGATGTTTTTTCCAGTACTATAATTAAAATTCATATTTGGATTAACTTCTAAGGTGGCACAGTAGCCAATGTGTGGTCTACAGAAAAATATCGGATTTCTGAGTGAAGAAACAGCTAAGACTGACTGAGATCATACAGATTGCTCAATTGGAGGAAAAAAAAAAAAGAAGATCCTGGACGTCTCACAGTAACTGTTTCAAAGTGTTTGTCTCTCTTGGTCTCTCTGCCTTCACTCCTCAGCTCTCTCGGCGCACTTCCGTGTCTGTGAGCCGTACTCTGACCACAAAGGCCGCTACCACTTCGGCTTCCACTGCCCTCGTCTCTCCGACAACAAGACCTACATGTTCTGCTGTCACCATAACAACACCGCCTTCAAGTACTGCTGCAACGAGACAGAGTTCCAGAACGTCATGCAGATCAACATCACGGGGAGCTCTGATGGCTTCATGCACAAGTAAGTGGAAAGTCTGGGTGAGTGACTGGAATGACTTTGCAGACTGACCTTGCCTTTATGAATAAAATAATGCTTGCTGTGCTCAGATCACGTGGACAGTCTTTGATCCATATACTGTACCAATTAAATTCTCTCTGCGCTTGCCTTTGCCAAAGAACCTTTATTGTCCCCAAAAGGGAGGATAGTTTGCTCTGTGTTTTTTGTTGGTGCTGTTGTTGTTGTTGTTGTTGTTGTTGTTGTGGTTCTGACTGACTTTTTCTTCTGACTACTAAAAACCACTATCCTATAAAAGATGTCTCTCTTAACACTGCACATTGGGTAGAGTCAACATCCAGCTTCTAGGTGTTGAGAGTAGAGCCTTCAACCCTGTCATTTTAGAAAAGAGACTTCAATGAGTAAATTGTGCTGCCTCATTGGTTTGTCTTATTATTAAGCTTCTAGATGCAAATAAATGAAACACGATTGAAAATTAAGAATAAACGTTTCTGGCAGAAGATGTATCATACAAAACTTTTACTGGACTGTCTTTGTTTTACTTCCTTTTACATATTCATCTCATTAGATACTTTATTTATGATTTATATTTCATTTAAAGTCTTATTAAAATTCTGATGACTACATTTACAGCATTACACAGGCATTTACTACAGTATCTGAACGGTGCACCACTGTTATTTGAAATCCTTAAGGCTGAATACTTAACTACACGTGATAAGTGCCCAACGGCATCAGTTTGCAAGAATGGACTTACTAAAATCTGTGGAGAACATTTAGCATTGCTTTTTTTTATCTTTTCTTGTGATGATGTGTCCAAGATGCCATTAATAAGCAGTACAGGCAGTTACATGCATAAGTAATGTAGCAATAACTGTCTCCGTGATGTGCTTTATTTCAATTACAACATAGATGAATTTCATTAAAGCCTCCAGCAGATGTTATTTACTTGTAACAGATGGCTTAAAGGCAGAGACTGTGACTATCACACCACTTCACAATGCCAGAAACCACAGACCTATGGAGATTGTAAGAGCAGACTTTGCTGGGTCTTCACTGAAAATTAGACTATTTTCTTAAACCTTGACTTACCTTGATTGATTGATTGATTGATTGATTGATTGATTGATTGTACCTCAAGATGGCAACACCCAGGGAATACCATTGTGATTAATATTGAGCTGGACTCACAGCTGATTTATAATACACAAAACTGATTGTGTTGTCATCTCTATGTTACCTCATTTTTTTAAATTCTTTGCTTTCTCAGTTTGGAGTGACTTTACTGTGTATCAGTTATGTCTCAAAGCTCTCAGTGACAACCTGTTAAATTCTAATACTGACAGAATTAGAAATGCAGGCATGCCCAGTTGAATCAAGCCCCTCACAGGCCCTTCAGCAACATACAGGAGGTTCTTCTCCAAACTGCAAATGGAGGAGAGGCGTCTAATTGACTGACATCACTGGAAATCCACTGTGTGGGACCTTGCTGACTGACCCCTTCCTGCAAATGTTGGTGTTGTACAATGTGTCAAGGATGGCGTTTAGAGCACCTGGTTGGACCCTATGCGGCGCTGAGACTGTAGTTAGCTAGTGTTTGGCGTCCAAATCCCAATGGCGAGGTAGAAGAACTAGGTCGGGTATCACAGGAGTCAGGTCGAGAGTATCCAAATCCAAAACAAGAGAAGAGACAACGAGACAAAGTCGAAGCAGGAGGCAAAACAAGGTCAGATAGCCAGAAAACAGGTCGAGAGTAATTTACGTGCACAAGACAAAAAGCCAAGGGTTCGGGGACAGAGTGGAGTGAAAGGGTATAAACAGGGAAGAGCGTGAGGAATGACAATTGATTAATTAGTGTACGAGTGCTGGCGGTGGGAGGTGCTCGAAGGAATGCGGTTCGTGACACAATGGGCTGTGTTTTGTGTGCACAGTTGACATCAATTCATTAAAAAATACTGAAGCCATTGTAGTAGCAGCATGAGGTATCTTCCTGCAGGACAAGAAAGGTATCCAGATGCTTCGGAATAGATATTTGTCTTAAGAACATAAGACAGATCGCAAATAAGAGGAGGCTACAGTATGTGGCCCGTCTAGCTGATTTGATAGAAGATGATGGATTCAAGGATCTCTCCCAGCGATTTCTTTATAGATAAAGGGTACCATCTTAAATAACAAGGTTATATACACTGTAGCTTGCTCAACACTCCCACAAGTGCCTTGTGCATTCTCTCTTTTGTCCTCTGTTTCATTTTTCACTGTTCATTCTGAAGAAGCCCACTGGAATGACTTGCCTGTGCCTTTGAGGAATACTTGAATCAGGTCTCCTTCTAGTCTCCTCTGTTCAAGACTAAAAAGTTTGACTTCATTTCACTTGTCAGTGTTGGACATTTCTTAAAGGCCCGGAATGATTCCAGAGCTGCAATATTTTAAATGAAATCTTACACTTGCTTCATGTAGTTTTAAAATAACAATACTTGATTTACATTGTACACTTTTAACTACAGTACATAGTCTAACATTCTAACATAAAGACCTGGATGACTCAAACTTTCCTTCACTTAAACTGCAACAAGAATAAGGTCTTGTTACTTGATACTCATCACCTAAGTATAACCAGTACAGTAACCCTATCAGTGGACAGCTCTGTGCTTGAATTTCAATCAAAAGTGTAAACTATAGGGATGATATTCGATCCTGGCTTGACCTTCAACACGCATATGCAGAATATTGTAAAAACATCTTTCTTCCTTCTCCTGCTCCTCTGTTGTAGTTCTAATAATTGTTTCCATCCCCTTACATAGAATAATAGTCTGACATCTATAACATTATGATTTATTGACTTTTTTGTCTATGTCACTCTTTATACATATCTTTATACCTGTTTCATTGTCTGAATACACCTCTTTGCACCTCTTTTACTTTTGGTAGAATGATGTTTCTAAATTCACAAGCTCTTGAGAGACAATCTGTGCCCCTGTTGCCATTCACTAATTGCTCCAGAAGAACTCAACAATTTAACATTTCTTTGCACTTTTAATTGGTAGTTTCTGCTATTGAAGACATTACAGAGACTTCTGGCTGTTTGAAGTGAGTATCAGCATGTTGATTCCATGTGATCAAGCAAGATTGACAAGAACCCATTTCCACTGATTTTCAGGTCAATCCTAGGGATGTACGATAGAGGCATCAACATCCAAATTCCTTTAAATGTCAATGTGATACCCTAGTATGGGCTGTCATAAAATGAGAACTTTGATAGGTGGGTCAAAGTTAAACACAAACAGAAAACAGCCGCCATAAGGCAAAGGCAGAGAAAAGTGCCCTTTCATTAACATTAGAAAACTGTTCACAAGCAAAACAAAACACCAAAACAATAATTTAGCTCTTTTTTTAAGCTTCTTATTCTTCTCCTTTCAAATCCCTGACCAACAGTAGCTGGGCAGCTAAGCTGCTTACCAGACTCAAAACTAACAACTTTCAAACTCTCTCTGAGACTCCTCTAAAGCACTTCCAAACTTTTCAACTTACATTCTTATTTCTCTCCATCAGTAATTTCTCTTTTCCAGTCTCTTTTCCTTCCCCACCGGTGAGGGTGTACTGCGAGAATCTGCCTTCTGTGCAGACAGAGCTTATTGGCAGGCTGTTGTCTTGTGCCAACCATACAAGTGACTATGTGCAGCATCTCATTCCCCACAGATTTAGGGGAAATGAGTCCAGGCAAGAATCTTCTGTTTGTCTGAACCTACTGCCCACTCACTGTCAGCACCTAATCCAGTCCACCAGTAGTAGCCTTGTGAAACTTCCTTCTTACACAATACTCTACAGTAGTATGCAGTACTCCACGCAGAGGATATAAATTATTCTCTCTTTCTCAATCCAAATTACCCCCAGCTCACAATGTACTGTACATCACAACAGACTGTTTTTTTTCCCTAAATCATTCATCTTAGGTTATATCTTTAGATTATCGGTCTTCACATTTATTTAACCAATTCCATGCTGCTGCTTTCTTGGATGACACACTTAGTACATCAGTGCTCTCATTTTTATTAAGGCAAATATCTTAACTCAGATGTACTGGCTAAAGTCCACTCTGGACTTACACAGACTGGTCAACCTAAGTTTCCATCTTAATTAATTTAATTACTGAAGCAATTTCTCACATCTCCCCTTCATCTTCATTCAGTTGTCCAAGATGGCAGCACGCTAGCATGCAGCGGCCAACAACGGCACGCTAATTGTCTGTCGAATGCATTTTTTTCCTACTATTATTGTGTCTTTTTTACTCCATGAACAAGTGCTTACAAACATGATCTACAGCTGTGAAGTCCTTCTGGATATAAGCTCAAGATGTGAAAATCTCTCTCAGTACACCAGCTGCACTACTACTCCACGAGCATGGCCTCACGTGTACCCGAGTGAGAAGGCGCTGCAAGCAGGGCGAGACAAGGCGGATGCGCGGCGGGCAGGTAGGGGTGCTAGCCAGGCTAAAGGCTAACCCCTCCAGACCAGCGATTCCATCTATTTTCCTGGCCAATGTTCGCTTACTGGACAATAAAATGGACTTACTCAGGCTAAGATACACTACACAGCAAGAAATGAGGGACCGTTGTGTTTTCATTCTTACGGAAACGTGGCTCCACGAAAACATCCACAACTCGTCTATTGAGCTGGATGGACTGTTTCTCTTCTAGGCAGACAGAAATGTTTAAACCGGGAAGACCAGAGTAGGCGGCTTGTGAGTCTCTATTAATAAAGGTTGGTGCACAAACGTTACGTCCATTTCGAGTCATTGTTCTCCAGCGGCTGAATTTTCAACAATTACATGCTGACCTCACTACCTGCCGAGAGGGAGTTTAATGTTGTTATCATTTTTGCTGTGTACATCCCACCGAACGCTAACATCAGAGATGCACTCAAACTGTACAGCACTATTAGCCTGCAATAAAACACACACCCGGACTGTCTTTTCATTGTCGCTGGTGATTTAAACCAGGCAAACCTCA